TCTGGATAAAAGATGCTCTGATATTAAAGATTCTTTGCTTAAGGCACAAATGTACCTGTCTGTGACTTTTTTAATGGCACATTTTAGTGGCATGTAGCATTATCTTTTATGAAAGAGTATGGCAAGAGGCCTCGTTATGACTCCCCATGGAGAGTGTGACAGCACATTAACAAGGGAAGGAGCAGAATGACGAAGGCAAGCAAGGGTGAACTTTGTTATTTTAGGAGTTTAAAACAATGAAGTGACCTTCTGATTCTTGCATCACCAAACCTCAGGGATGGGATGAGAGTTTATGGGACTGGGGGTGGGGGTGCTAGGTAGAGGTAGAAAGGATAGAAAACTCTAACTCCCATTTTGTCTCATTTGATTCTTGTGTCATTTCAGGAAAATTCCTTTGCTCGGTTTCCTATATATATATATATATATATATATATATATATTTTTTTTTTTTTTTTTTTAAAGATTTTATTTTTCCTTTTTCTCCCCAAAGCCCCCCGGTACAGAGTTCTGTATTTTTTTTTAGTTCTGGGTCCTTCCAGTTGTGGCATGTGGGACACCGCCTCAGCAAGGCCTGATGAGTGGTGCCATGTCCGTGTCCAGGATCAGAACCGGCGAAACCCGGGGCTGCTGAAGCGGAGCGCACAAACTTAACCACTCCGCCACGGGGCTGGCCCCAGTTTCCTATATTTTTATCCCATTCGTTTCATTACCACAGGTATCCTAAGAGAATAAACTGATTGCCTCAAAACATTTGAGGAAGGTATCCACACAAACGGAGTGAAGTGGCACTAGGTGAGACCTTGCATACTTTGACATTTGATCTCTCCTGAAGAGTTTACAGGGATGCATCTTAGAGTGTGCTAGGGGATGGGGGGAGGGACTCCTCCATCTTTTCCTTCTTTCTCCCATTGGCAAACTCCCTTTAAGACTACTCTACCTCAACTGTCAATTCCTTTGAGAAACTCCTGCCCTTCCCTCCCCTCTGTGGTTCAGAATCCTTCACAAACATCTTTACTGAGGACTTTGTCACACTGTTCTGGGCTGTAGGTATCTGTCTTCTCTATCAGAGGTAGGCTTTTCTCAGCTTTGTGTGCTCCATTCTCCAAGGCCTAGCACGTGGTTAGTGCTTAAATAATAATTATTGAATAAATGAAAGTTTCTACTCTTCAAAGTGCACACCTAGAAAGGGAATCTTGTTGTTAAAAGTGAGGATAAACAGGGGCCGATCCAGGAGCACAGCGGTTAAGTTCGCATGTTCTGCTTTGGCGGCCCGGGGATAGCTGGTTCGGATCCTGGGTGTGGATCTAGCACTGCTTGTCAAGCCATGCTGTGGCAGGCGTCCCACATATAAATAGAGGAAGATGGGCACGGATGTTAGCTCAGGGCCAGTCCTCAGCAAAAAGAGGAGGATTGGCAGCAGATGTTAGCTCAAGGATAATCTTCCTCAAAAAAAAAAAAAAAAAAGTGAGGATAAACAGAAGAGGAGCAATCCTTCTTTGAAGATGTTGAGAATGTTTCAGAACACAATTAGTTACTCAAATTTTAAAATTCTATTGAGATTCACACTTTTCTCTATCTGTAGTAGTTTTTTTTTTTTAAAGATTTTATTTTTTCCTTTTTCTCCCCAAAGCCCCCCGGTACATAGTTGTGTATTCTTCGCTGTGGGTCCTTCTAGTTGTGGCATGTGGGACGCTGCCTCAGCGTGGTTTGATGAGCAGTGCCATGTCCGCGCCCAGGATTTGAACTAACGAAACACTGGGCCGCCTGCAGCGGAGCGCGTGAACTTAACCACTCGGCCACGGGGCCAGCCCCTCTATCTGTAGTAGTTTTAAACAGGATTTACCACATCTATTCTAAGCATACTGTGGTGGAAACAAAGAAGAATCTTGGCCTTCAAGTGCTTCTTTTGGACTAACTTTCCCATCTCTTCAGGTAATGTTCTCATCACATCTACCCCTAAGGAAAAAAGAACCTTTGGGGTTCTCTTCATTATTGAATCACCAACAATTTCTCATGTATGGACTCAGAACTTCCAACTTCCCTTTCCCTATCACATATTTCTCATCACCTTGTACCCCAAATAAATTTGGTATAAAATATGCCGGGGGCCTTACTCTATTCTCTAACCACTTACTGGTCTACCACTCGTGTTTGGTCATATGTTGTCACGTGCTTGTCTGGTGGATCATAAGCTCCTAGAAGAGAGAGGCTGCAATCACATAGTTCCTCTGAAAACACTTAGTTAAGCCAGATGCACAAAGAGGTGCTCAACCACCCTTTTTGATGATCATAATCAGACTGCACTTTACATCCTGTAACGATATCTTCTCCTCCTTCTGAATTAACATCTGGCTTCTCACCATCCATTTTAAAACACAAGAAGAATCAAAATGCCTAACCTTTCCTGGCCCTCACTCCTGAGCTCTTCTACCATCCTCTTCACCACATGAGCCAACCCATTCCTTCTGGCATTCAGGTGTCCCACACTTAGCGCTGACACTTTTCACACAGTTCCCTATGCCTTAATCCTCCTCAATCTTACAAATTCAATGAGTCTGTCTTCTTCAGTCTTCCAGAGACCATTCAATAGTGTACCTCCAGATAAACGAAGACGATCAACAAAACCTCAAATACATCAATGGCAATCTCCCTCCCTCTATTACAATGAATCTCTTTTTATTAATCTTTGTCTCCCTAGCACCCAGCAAAATACTCGACAGACATATTTTCAATATGCCATGTAAATACGTTCTATTTACTAGGCATCTATCTACCTACCTACCTATCTTAACTGATCTCCCTGTTTCTATGCTTGCCTCTCTATAGTCTGTGAGCCACAGAGCACCCAGTGATCCTTTGAAAATGTAATTCAGATCATTTACTCTCAGAGTAAAATCTCAAGTCCTTACTATGGCCTACAAGGCGGTATATGGTCTGGTCCCTGGCTACCTCTCTGAATGTACTTTTTCCCTTGCTAACTCTACTCCAGTCACCCTGGTCTCTCAGCCTTTCTTAAATATGCCAAACACACTGCAGCTTCGCACCTTTGTATCTGCTGTTGCCCGATGGCTCCCTCCTTTCACATCATTCAAGTCTCTGCTCAAAGGTTACTTTATCAGAAAGGACTACTCCACTTTATTTTTCTCCATAGGACTTACCACCACCTGAAAAATTATATATTTAGTTATCCTTCTGTTTTCCGTCCTTTTCCTCACGCCCCAAGCCCTCACCAAACTCAACTCCATGAGAGTCAAGTCTAGAGTGTCTTTTCATTACTATATCCCCATTGCCTATCTAGCAGGCATAGCAGGAGCTCAATATATGAATGAAAAAATAAATGTGGAAGGAATGAATGGTGAATATTCACATATGTTCTAAATCTTAAATCTATTAGTGGTGGTCTCTCACAATATTGCTATGCCTCTCATATTATGTCATGCGAGGGTATATCACTAAGTCACACAACTCCAGAGTTGCTGCAGAAAGTTAAAGAAAGACAATAGCAGACTGTTTAGAATCATAGAATGTTAGTCTGGAAAGGGGCGTAGAGACCATTATTTTACAGATGAAGAAACTGAGGCCCAAAGTGAGGGACAGTGGCTTGCACAGGGCCACCTAGAAAACCAGTAGCAAAGCTCGAAGTACAATCTAGGATTCATTCCCAATCTAGGATTCTTATCTCTACACCATGTAACTTCCAAAATACTCTACACTGGATCTGGTTGTCTATTAAATACATTCAATGACAAATGACTTAAAATATGCAAAGGAAAATTATAAAACAAGACCTGAGCCCCACACGTCAACAGCACTAGTTTCCTCTGAAATAGGCTAACTGAACAAGCCCTTCAGGATTCCATTGGGAGACTCAGTTCTAAGCATTTGTCTACCATTATTGCTAACTTTTCACCTGATGCACACATATTGTATTTCCTCTTAGATTCCCTTTTATGAGAATTAGAAGAATACGGTTTATACATTCAATACTTTATTTTTGCTTTCCTTCTATAGCACAGGTGAATTGAGTCTGAAGACATTTCCTTACAAACTCAACTGCATTCATGCATTACAAAAACCACAGAAAAAGTATTTGACCAAAGAAAAGTGGTAAAATCATGATCTCAACTCTAACCATGACCTTATTTAAGGAGTCTTTTCTACTTTTTAAAAAGTCCTCCTTTATCTGAACTAGTGTATGTGAGAAACAATTCTCGAAGCACACTAGTGAATATCCAGACTCTATATTACTGTAACTCACATTGAGCCAGATATCCTTCTAATATAAATCATGTGCATTTCCTTACAGATCAACAGTCATTGTATAGAAACCTTACCACAGAGTTCTAGTGGGGCTACAAGTAGCACAGTAAGATAAAATCCATTCTAAGCACAGCTATAAAGAGTAAAGACATTAAAATTGTGTTAAATACACACCCCTTATTGTCTCCCAGATCATATCACAGCCCATCCCCCAACACGCGATATGACCATATTGGAACAAGGTGGCTTTTTTCTTTCTAAATCAACACATAGAATTTATACATCCAAATGAGTAGGGCTGTACTCTTTAAAGTAATCACCTTTGGAAGTTATATATGCATTCCAACAAGGCTACCATCACACATAATTCTTCTTGAATCTCTTTCACAACACAGGTTTCCCAGATTTAGTGTGCATAAGGATCACTCAGGGAACATGTTAATAATGCAGAGTCTTAGAGATCTGGATTTAACTGGTCTTGGATGGAGTCTGGGAAGCTGCATTTTTAAGAAGCACTCCAGGTAAGTTTTATACAGGTGATCTGTGAGAAGTAGCACTTTAGAACAGTCAGTTCACAAGCCACGCAAGGATATAAAAATAAGGACTTTAGAATTAAATTCTGTGTACACATACATTTAACAAACTGAAGGTTTAATTTTTTTTCAAAATCTTCATTCTTCCTGATAGAACATATTAGTACAGAAATACACAGAAGCATCTATTTGCAAACAACAACATACCTCCATGAAAGAGATTCCTAAGCTCCAGACGTCAGAATGGATTCCATACTGCTCCCCTGAAATTCTTTCAGGCTGTAAGAAAACAGAAGGGAGCTTGAGAGTTGATGTAAGCTGCTCCAGGAAACAGATACACTCAGATGAGCTCAGCTAAGGCGGGGAGCCATCAATAGTTGCATAGTACTTTATGAGGAGCAAAACAATTTTATATGGACGTGTATACATATATGTGTGTACATTATGTAGATAATACATAGAAATTATATAGTTAATATAGATATTTTATATATAATCTCACTGAATCCTCACAAAGTCCCTGTGAGGGAAACTTTATCATCTTTATTTTATAGATGAAAGAAATGGAAGCTCAGATTGGTAAAATAATTTAGGCAAAATCCTAAACTGGTAAATGAGCTGAGACTTGATCCCAGGTCTTCTCCCTCCAAATCCAGTGGTCTTAGTTGTGGAGTGACAAATCACGCGCTATTATATAATATTATCACTTATTTGCATTTTGATTGATTGGTCTGGATCATTAGGGATTCTTTCATTTTAAAATTTTTAATCTTTTATTTGGAAATAATTTCGAATTTACAGAAAAGTTGAAAGATTAAGACTAGTATGAAGAACACTCATATTTCCTTTGCCCAGATTCACTTACTGTTCAGTATTTTATTCCAATTATCATCGTTTCTTTTGATATGAACCAAGGAACAGTCTGAAAGGTCCATTTGGGACTATTGGTCCTCCATTCAAGATGTGTAGCAAATACCCGGTTTAGAAAGCCACTATACGCACACTCTCTACTTCAACAGGAATAATTTCATACTGAAGTGAGTGCTGCCTGTTCTCTCTATTCTTCCAGGATTTGGCATTCAGTTGGGTACTTCACAGAAGTCTTTTGAGTGAACATGAACAAAGGAATAAGAGTCACTTCTCATGGAAATGGAATAGTTGCTCAAGGTTATAGAGACAGTCACGACAAGGCTGGGATGATAACCCACATCTCTTGGCCTCCAGGACAGCAGTTTACTCTTTGTACCATCCCTGGAGTTCCTGGCAGCCACCAAAGCCATCACCCTTTAGGAGCTGCCATGAGAGCCCTTAAGAGTAACTGGGGTCAGAGTCAGCCTAGTCCACTGCAGATGGAGGAAGTGGGCATCCACCAGTCACCAGCAAGGGATACACCAGGGGTGTACAAGATGTGGGCCAGATGTTCTCAGGTGAGAGGGCACAGTCCTACATCTCAGAAAGTTGGCTTAGCTGGGACCCAGAACTTTGTAACCTACTTCCCACTCCCAACTACTGGTTACTTCAGTGTAGTTGCTGCCTTCTCCTGGGACCACTTTCCATAAAATTACACAAAGCCCTGCCCTGAGGGAGTAGGATGGATTGTCTTATTTCCCTTTTTTTATTTATTTCTTTAATTTGTAAAACCCCTTTCCTACCAAGAATAATTCTTCCCAAGGGCCAAGTGTCACGTGACCATTTCTTGCAGCTGCTAATAGACATGGTCATTCCAATTCCTTAATACTTTTTCTTTTATGTTCTAATCCACTTTGCCATCATTTTCAAGTTCCTTGTTCATACATGAATGAACCCATTATCCAATCCTAGCTGGTTCAATAGGTACTAGGATATATTCATATGCCACTGGTCAGTCAGTTGCTGGAGTGATGCTGCTGCCATCATCATCATCAACAACAAAATCATCATTTTGTGCATTTACTGAAGAATTCCCATGTGCCAGGCATTGTTTTAAGTGCTCTTCATGCACGTCTCATTTCAGATTCATAAACACCCATGTTAGATTGGTACTATTATCATCCCCATTTAACATAAGAGGAAAATGAGGCACAGACAGGTTTAGTTTGCACCCACTACTTAAGGATAGTAATAGCTATCATTTAATGACTATCTGGTATGTGCTAGACACTGGGCTAGATACTTTGCATCCTTTACACTTCATAACAATCTTGCAAAGTTGGATATTATTGTCTTCATTTTACAGATATAAAAACTGAAGCTTAGTAAGATTAAGTGACTTGTTGAAGTCTAGAGCTATGGACTAGCTTTAAGAGTACTGGTTAGGAACACAGCCAGGATTCAAACCCAGGTATGTCCGACTGCACAGTCACAGTTCTTTCCAGTGTGTCAAATACCTCCCAGAACTAGAAGTCAGAAGAGCCTCTTCCTTCCTGTTGCCTTCCTCCCTGTCTTTTCTTTCGTTCCTCTCTTTCTTCATTCCACTAGCTGACAGTTATCAGTATAGCACTTCATCCAGAGTACAGAAGAAACAAATAAACAAACAAAAGTGGAACCCACATATAAAATATTTTGGCAGGACCAACATTAAGATTAAATACATTGATAACATTTACCCACTGATCTACCAAAACAAATGCAAACTGTAAGCTGAAAATAAGGCATAGAAAAATTAAATTTAATTTAAAAAGAAAAAATAAAAAAGTGATAATGGTCACAGATATCAGGTGGCAAATAAGAGAACTCCTTAAGGATGAGATTCTGCTAACCTCTCATTGGAAAAATTATTCTTGCAATAAGCTATCAAAATGAGATTACTGCTGTGATGGCAGTGCCTAAGCACAAATGCTCAGAAAAAGCAGAGTCTATCCTAAAGAATTTGTATGGCAGATAGGGATGGGAAATGATCCCAGGCCCCTGAAACTGACACAGGCACAGGATAAGCCCTAATACATTCTGAATTTATGGAGCCAGGACTCGATGGCCTAAGGCTGCAGAATTCAACTCTCTTCTCACACTTGAGGCCAAGGTAGCCCTGTCTTGTCCCCTCTGAAACAAAACAAAACAAAACCAACCAACAGGTACTAGACTACTGACAGAAGATCTGTGATGGACATTTTGCAGTCAAAAAGCTAAAGCTGGGTTACTTGCTGACATGACAGCTGTTATTATTTAGCATGGAAAGCTAAATAATAGGAAAAACATGAATCTTCTCTGGAACGCCTCTGTAATGGGGTTTAAAGTGTAGGGGAAAAAACTCTGGTCTGTTCTTAACAAGAACAGTAAAGAGTCATGATCATATAAAAAGCAGGATTTATAGAAGATTTCAAAGGGCAGTGGCTCCGAGCTGGCATGCACGTTCCACTCCTTCCAGCTACCCTCTGTGACTTAGCATTTACCCAGGACACCATATTTAGTCAACTCCTCCCAGAACTGTCTCTATTTACAACCCAATATCCCAGAGTTTACTTGTCAAAAGCAGGAGGATACCAAGGTACATCTCATCTCTTCTGATAAAGGAATTTCTGCTCAGGATTAGGCTACTCAGAAAATGAACAAAGTATGAACAAATACTTCAGGTTAGTATGTAATCAAAATACGTTATCACAAACAATGGTTTTTTTTAAGTTGGCAAGATCCCTGTGTGAGTAGTAGAGTATACTGGTCAGACTGCTCTAACTCAGTCTATCTTCCAGTTCACTAAATCTCTCTTCTGCTATGTCCAATATGCTACAAAGTAGCAAGGTTTTGATTTTAATCTAGTAGTTTTGTTTGAGACTTTCTCAAATCTACTATGTCACTTCTAAAATTTATGATCTGAAGTCTGTGTGCATCTGTTGTTTCTGCTGGTTCTTCTTCATGTTGCTTTGTGTCCTTGTGTGCCTGGTCTTCTTTGACTGCTTGCTAGATTTTCCTCGTGAAAAAAAAATTTGGAGAGGTTCTCTGAGGCCTGAGGTGAATGTGCCCACCTCATATCAAGTTTTCAGCATGAAGTTCCCTTTACAATTTAGGTCATATATACAAATACCCAGGGTGCAAATCTGTGCCAGAGTTAGTCTATGGCCACAACTTCCCCTTCTTTCTTTTTCTCCTGCTTCTCTGCTTGGCTCTGAGAAGCCTTCTATTCTGTTCCCTGGAACTGGGGGAGAAGGAACAGCTTTAGTTCTGGTTTGCTTTTACTCTAAAGGTGAGCCCTTCAGGCTTCCAGCACGATATGGGGAAGATCTCCTGGACCCTCTGGCTTAGGGGCCCCCATGTCATTCACAGCTGTGGTACGGGCAAATGCCCTCAGGAATAAGGAGCTTTGGTGTTCTAACATTCTGCTTGCCCATCTGTTGCAGGATTCCATCTGAAAATTGTCCTTGGAGTTCCTCATTATCTTTTTAGCTCTTCAGTGCATTTGAGATGGTTTTAAAAGTATTTTAACTAGCATTTTTCAGCAGAATAGTTGGTCCAAATAACCTAACTTGCTATTACCAGAAACTAGAAGCTGGAGTCCTAATTAAATCTTGACTCTCACTACTTGACCAACTCTGAAACCCTGGGCTAAAGCTGCTTCACCTTTGGTTTCCTCATCTGTAAAATGAAGACAATAATAGTAATACATATATGTCATGGGGTTGTGTGAAGATTAAACCAATCTATGTAATGTACTTGATTCAGTACATGCCACATGGGAATGCTCAGTAAATACCAGCCTCCTTCCGGTCAACGCTACCATCATCACCATCACTGCACGAGCATGGTCAACTGAGATGGACCCTATAGTCTGTCAAGTTTTATTCTGGGTAAAGATAATTTCTAAGGATAGGAATAGCCCAGGTAGGAAAAAATGTTCAGGAGATAAGAATAGTTATTTAGATTGTCTTTCTGATCCCAAAGGACAAATATTTGGGCAAGATCTTTCTTGCAAATTTCAAAACTTTATTTATTCATAACAATATTGTCAAACCTTTACATTTGATTTAAAAAATTATAATAAACAAACCACAGTGATTAAACAGTGGGTTAAGGTTTTAGGGACTTCTATCTTTAAAACAGAGTAAAATTTTTAGTAACTAGAATTTCTGAGAAATGGTTTAACTTAATGTAAGCCCCCAAAAGCCTTCTGGACCCCTTTTATAATCCTTCTGGATGAAATCCTTTTAAAATGTGGTTGAAAATCTTTCTTGCTTTGGATTAAAGTGTCTGTTGAGCCTAATTATCTTCCCCTAAAATGTAATGTATCCTTGAATATGCCACTTCACTTTCTGGGTCTCAGTCTCAACAGCCAATGAGGAGGTTGGACCAGATGACTTTCCAAGTCTCCCACAAGCTCCACTGCTTAATGTGCTCATACGTTGTTTTGTTTTTTTAAATGAGCTAGGATCTTAGAAAAACCTCACTGCGTTTTCCTAATTATCATTTTCTTGCACCTCACACTTCAGATTACAGGAGAATGAGGTGAGACTGTTCACACATGCAAGACTATTTCTTTGATTCATTTTCTTTTCAATATCTGAGTAGCCTAGCTGACTGTATTTGAGTAATCTGGGGCGTCTTCTACACCTTATAATGCAAGTAAGATACTTAATATGAAAAGTTAAGTGCTCTGCTCATAATTAATGAACAAGTCAGTTTTGAAATGCAGCTTTCATGAATTCCTTCATTTAGCACTGTGATGGACTGCATACAGAGAATGAGCAGAATAAACCCTGTCCCTGTAAACTTCATAATCTAGATTGAGAGAGACACATAAATGATTTGGATATAGGGAGAGGCAGAGCAGTTACAAGTTTAGTTTCTGGAGACTGATTACTTAGGTTTGAATCCCACTTCTGCCAATTTTTAGCTATATGAACTGGGTAAGTCACTTAACTTCTCTATCCCTTGGTTTCTTCATCTGTAAAATGAGAATAAAATTACCTACCTTATAAGATTGTTGTGAGGATTTAAAGAGTTAGTAAATGTAAGAGTTTAAAAGAGTGACTGGCACATGGTGCTAATTAAGTATTAGCTATTACTATTAGTATCACTGTACAGAAGTATGTACGAATATAAAGTGAGAGAAATGGGGGTAAAATGAGGGCATTACATCAGGTGACCTCCAACTGTATATTCCCAAAATTTATTTTTATTTTTACTTTGTTAAAGATTGGCACATCAGCGAACATCTGTTGCCAATCTTCCTCTTTTTTCCTTTTTCTCCCCAAAGCCCCCATACATAGTTGTATATTCTAGCTGTAGTACCTTGTGGTTGTGCTGTGTGGGATGCTACCTCAGCATGGCCCGATGAGCAGTGTCATGTCCACGCCCAGGATCCAAAGTGGTGAAACCCTGGGCTGCCGAAAGGCAGAGCACGCAAACTTAACCAGTCGGCCACCGGGCCGGCCCCTCCCACAATTTATTATTTGTCCTCTGCCCAACTTCCTCGCCCCCACCCATGTCACATTATCATCTACTTCTGAGTCTTTGCTCATCCTTCCACAGTGATCTCTCTCTTTTATAAGTGCTCTTTTTACATACTGCTTGAATCATCAAATTCGTACACTGTATGCCTTCTTATTCTCTAAATGTATGCTTGGTACAACTTCGGTTTTTATGATGTTACACATAATGTGGCCGTATATAATGCTATGTTTCCTATCTTGCCCATGTCTCATGTGGATTATAGAGTGGTTCCACTGTATCTGGCTAAGAAGATGGAAGGTGCTCAGTAAATACTGGTTGATTAATGGAAGGAACTCAAGTGTCAGATACAGCTTTTACTGGCAGACACCAGAGGTTGGCAAACTTTTTCTGTAAAGGGCCAGATAGTAAATATTTTTCACTTTGTGGGCCATATGGTCTCTGCCGCAACTGTCACAACTACTCCAGTCTGCAATCACAGCGCTAAAGCAGCCATAAACAATGAGGAAATAAATGGGTGAAGCTGTGTTCCAATCAAACTTTCTTTTCTCCTATTTAATTTTTATTTTGGAATACTTATTGATTCACAAGAAGTTGAAAAAATATATATACAGGGAGATTTTGTGCACCATTCACCCAGTCCCCCCCCAATGGTAGTAATACAATAAAATTATCACCATGTCTAAGGCAGGGATTAATACCAGTAACAGAATAATAAATATTATTTCCATCTTCCCTGACTCTCAACCTCTGATCTCTCACCAGTTAGGCAAGTACATGGCCAACGACGGCCTGCTGAATTGAGTGAAGCTCACTATGAGGCTATCACTTCTCACTTCCTAGGTATCTTATGCTTTTTACAGCTTGAACTATAAAGCTGATGACTAGAATTCACTCACCCAAGAAACAAAGCAATTTTAACTTTGCCAATCTGAGCTAACGTTTCATAATTTTAATCCACACATTTTCAATTAACAGACAGACGCATCACATGCATCCATAAACAAAATGGAAATAAAGTAATTTCTTTAACGTACACCTGGGAAAGACAACTGTAATCTGAATTTGTACATTCAAACATAAGGCAATTTAATTATTAGAGCAATTTAAAGCTACTAAGACCATGAGGGGTAGTTGAGAAGTTGTTTCATTTATAGTTCTTTTTTTTAAAATCAGTATTCCATATTCTTTCAAAGACTGAAATCACGGCATTTAGCAGGGTTTTGTTAATTATAAAGGTGGCTCACTAATCTCAGCTAACCAGGTAGAGCCAAGAGGGTGATTAAGTTTTATAAAAACAGATATGATGACTTCAGACGTTAATTTCTTTTTCACATTACCTAAAAAAATGAGAAGGAATGAATTTTCTGTAAAAGCAATGCAAGACAAAAATAAACTATTCTAGTATCTCAGTAAAAAAATTGCTTTGTACTATTCTGAGAGTAAGATCCAGGGTTCTATCCATATCAACATCTTTTTATCAAGATAATATATGAACAAAGAATACTGAGAATAACATCCAGGGTTCCATCCATACCAACACTTTAACTTCACATACAGACTATTAGAAGTCAAACAGACTACCTGAATAAATCTAGAACCCTCATTAAAATAACTAACCTGAAGATGTTAAAACAAAACTTTGCTCCAAAACTGATACTAGATAAGCTTTTTGTTCATCTCTCCCCACCCTCCATTCTGAAGTGATTGTGGAAACCAATACACAAAAGCATTTTTATAGACACAAATAACTTCCCTTACTTAAAAGGTAAGGAGAAAAAAGGTCAAAACCAAGTACACGTTGGTCTTCGAAATAGTTCTGCACTTCCACTTTTTATTCTTGGTAAATTTATTTGCGTGGAACTAAGCAAGTTATCTTACAAGAGGTATGACTCTAACAAATAAACAGAACATAGATGTCCAAGTTCTAAAGAGAACTGCCTGCTAAACACTTTTCTTCAGAGATCCATAAGTAAGAGCTGGTCACATGGATAATTTAATTTTGATCTGGTGACAAAGCATGTTTGTAATCTTGGAAAAAACAACCAATTTTATTTACTCACATTTTGGTATATTTGAGGGTTAATTAAATAAGCAATGTGGCAAAGTAGCCAATACGCTATCAGGTGCAATTTTTCTGTAGGATTAAACTTCAAAACTCAGCGATTTTCCACTTGAACCAACCAGTTAAGTCAACAAAATCAGATAAGTTGGTAGCTCCTGTATAAACCCTAATGTCTTTCAGAAAGATTTAAAAATAGAATCATGACTGGATTGACTCTGTAATTTATGAACTGTTAGGCTAAAGCTGTGGAATTAATTCAAGAATTATACATTACCAAGTACATAAAGATAAAGATGTTGGTTTTAAATGTTATTTTTGCATAAGTTTACTTACCGCCATATAAGCATTTGTTCCAACATACGTCTTGGCTATAGAATTCACCAGCTATGAGACAAAACAGTCTGTTAGAACAATATAAAGATAATGTGGAAATAAAATGGGCAATTATTCCCCATTTAACCTACAATCATCATTTCTATAAATCAACTAAAAATTATGTAAAAGGGAACAAATTTATCTACAAAGGCATTAAAAATGATTAAATCTCTCTTTTCTTTTGAATGTGATTTCCAATTTAAACAAGCACAGCATTACAGTTTATAGCAGATAACCTTAAACAATTCACTTAAGCAGGATGCTTATAGCTTTAGTACCCCAAACCCGCCTGATATAAAAAGTCAATTTGAAGTAGAATTTGAACACACTCATTTTTTAGTCAAATGGCTCAAGATGTGAATGAAGCCCTGTGCATTACTAGAATGAAACGCACACTAAATATGCTGGAGGGATAACAGACTCTGACAACTCATAATACAACGATGACCTTCGCTTTGGTCTTCGTGTTTGGCTGGGAGTAAAGGTGGCTGCAATTCAAATCAACATCACAGCACGCTCATGGGTCACTATCACTGGGGTCCTCCGGGGAGGCCCAAAATGGAAATTAATTAAAATTTGTGCCGCACATTGTCATGGCCCTCCACCATTGTTGCTCCCAATATTAATTTTTATTGTGGGCCAGTTGGGCTCCCCAGGCACAGCTCCCACTCTGCCCTCCCTTTTGTCTGGCCAAAACACTTTCATATCAAAGCTGCATATCAATGAAGTTTGCTATTCGTAAGTAGTAATTACAATATCAGCAGTTTTTACTGTCATTAAACAATGAACAATCATATTCTGATGAAGGAAACTCGCTCAGAGATTAAAAATGAATGACACAATCCCAGCCGAGGAGAAGATGCAGAGTTCTGTTTGTCTGGCAGCTAGGCGATTTTTCAATCCAGAGAGTAGACTGAAAATAAAAAGTGGATGTTATAGAGAGGAGAGCAGACTGGAAGGAAAAAGAGACCTACCTGAGTGCTAACTCCAAAATCACACAGCTTGACCTGTCCGCTTGTGTTTACTAGCATATTGGAGGGCTTCACATCTAAAAAGGGACCAGAAAAGTCCACGTAACTAATTCCACATCTACAGTGCTTGTTCTAAAAAACTGCGCACATGCACACCATACCATATTGCAGAAATGACATCCAGAATTCCAATCACAAATTTAAGGTAAAACATTTTATCTGGAGGCAAAACGTAAGGTCCTAACTCCCACTTCCAACCATTTCTAGTTTCTATAGAAGCAAAGGTTTATTTTAAGTGAAACTTAAATAAAATCTTGGCTTCCAACAACAGTAAATACATCATCCTATCGCCAGCCTTCTAGGAAAAGTAGGTAGATAAGAAAATGTAATCTTGCAAAGAATTTGCACAAAAAGGCTTAGCTTTGCTTTCAAGGTGAAACCACTCCTCCCATCTGAGAAGCAGTAAGGCCAAAGGGAAGCCAACAAGGAAAAAATCATTCATATGTTTCTGGTAACAGGTCATATCTGAACGAAACAATGAGAAAACGAATGCAGTACTCCTATCTCCTGGTTTTACGTGACAAACGCTACTTCAGGTAATACTCAGAAATTGATCTAAAAGACGTGTGTATGTGTGTGCATGCATGCACTTAGTCTTTGTTTCATTTATCCTTCTCTTCCCTTACATCATTTTTGACTGCTGTTATAGTTAACAAAAGAATTGACAGAGCTTTTGCCAAGGCAGTCAGTTGCTAAATAATGACACAAAGGGTTTCTGTGCAGCATTGTCAGTGACAACAATGAGCCTTTTCAGGAATTCAGGAAGCCCACAAAAACCATCCAAGCAGGATAAGAGCACACTACTTTTGATGGTACAGAATAGCACCTGCTTCACCGCTTCATCTTCAATGGCAAAAGTAGTCTGGAACAGACAACTTGTTATATTTAATACAGCATATAACCTTAATTACCCAAAACAGAACAAGAGATTCAATTTTTTACGTAACATTAAAAAAAAAAAATCTGTGAGTAATAATCTTACCCCAACTGTCTATCCTGCAAAAGGGTACTCCAAAAAAGTATCTTGCCAATTGTAGGTACTTAATTCAAACTTCAAGTTCAAACTCAGTAACCAACAATTATTGAACCCTACCTGCTATGTGACAGGCAATGCGCCAGGTACTTTCTCACACATGTACTTATTTGGTGTTGCCTGACTGACACTAGAATGTAAACTCCATGAAGGCAGGACTTTACCTCTTTTATTGACTACTATATTCCCAGTCCGTAGAAGAGTGCCAGGCATACAGTAAGTGCTTAATAAATATTTGCTGAATGGATGAGAGAATAAATGAACGGAAACCACGAACACACACGCATTATTTTCTGTTGATGATTCTGGTTGAAGGGTCAGGGGTTAGCAGTAGAACATATCTCCATAACATGCCCTTCAGACGAGACACACCACATGCTTCCTTTAGGGGGCTCGCTCTCTGAACAGAAAGTAGTTTGCCTAGGCAGGTGGAAGCTCTTTTACCAACTGGTCTCTCTGCCCCCAATTTCAATACAAATCTTACACCACTATCACATTAAATGTACAATTTTCACTACATCATTTCTCTCCTTGAGGAGGAAGTAAAACATTTCCTGACTTCCCCTGCTAATCCAAATGTGAACTCTTTAAGAATAGGGTTGTGCTTTCAAACTTGCCCCAGCAGATAGCAAAATACATACACATCACAGACAGCCACAGTAGACACTAAATAAATGTTCGCTGAACTGAAAGAAATGTTAGCCTCTACATAGCCTGGTCTTATTTTCCAAATCTAATTCTCATTACAGGCCCTCAACTTAGAATATTTTTCTTTTAGACAATCTGCTCCTTTTGTATATTGCCATCCTTAAACCACTCTGAACACATCACATCAGAGGGAGACAGTTAATGAACAAATATTTTGAGCTTTTGGAAGAAGGAGCTGCCTGGAAATCACAAGTTATGCTAAAATTAACAAATCTTTAATCAGACATACATTTGACTTAAGTGGATCAATAGAGAGAACAAAACAAGAAAACTATGTTATAATTATATTCTAAAAGGCAAGGTGTAAATAAAAACTTTACTGCATTTTTCAGCTCTCCAACAACATCTTTTTTAACTTACATGGAAGCCTACTATAAGACTTTTGCACATTCACCTCTCAGCCTACTTTTTAGGAATACTTTATGTATGAAAGTAGTAGACAACCAGTCATCTTCAAACCAACCTTTGTATTCCAAATAGACTGTTTTAATCATTGTCTCAAAAAAAAAAAAACAAACAAAAAAAACCCAAAAACCCAACTCAAAAAACCCCATCACTAAGCCTTTGTTCATGCTGTGTGTTCTTTTCTCCCCACCCCAGGTTTAGAAACCCTTCCTGGATATTTTCTGACGGAATCCTGCCCATCCTTCAACTCAAGTACCTGCTTCCCTGCTGCCCTAGCTACTCAGGTCATCAAAGTCACTGCTGCCTTTGAACCGCCCAAGCATTTACTGTCTGTACCATTGTTTGGAACTGCGCACATAATACTTTTTTACCAGTAGTTACCATATTTACTGTTACAGACATCACTACCCCAAGTATTAAGTTCACAGGGGAGGAAAAAGCTTTATACATCTCTGTACGTATCCCTTCTGAGCACAGTATCTTGCTCACTGGTTGATGGTTTTTTAAACAATATATTAAATTTGTTAATATTAAGTGTCCCCCTCCCCACCAACACCTTGAGACATCGTTTGAACACAATAGACCCCTTTAAACAAAATCAATGGATTCAGGCTAGGGGACAAAAGAGCTGAGTTTTAGTCATTTTGTTACTGCCATAAACTTGGCATGTGACTTTGGACTAGGCACGTGACATTTTAGTTTCCATCTCTGTGCCAATCTTAAAGAACTGTGCGGATTAAATGAGATGAATGTAAAATTGCTCTTCAACTGTCAAACACTGTATAAATGTAAGGTATTATTATTATCCATTGGTAATCAATCAAGCTACAGAGGTGGTATATTTCATTATATTTAGCAAATAGTTTCCATTGCTACTGTAGCAAACTTAAGCTGTATTTGAATAAAATACTAGCTGAAAGGAAATAATTTCCAAAGCCCAGTAAGTAGAACTATAAAAACAATTTAACGTTTATGAGGAGGCATTTTTGCCAGACCATATGCACTCATTCCTCAACAAGGCTACTGAACTGGTCTCCCTATTTTTGCACCTGCTCTACTATAGTCTGTGTTGAGCACAGCAGCTAAAGTGATCCTTTTAAAACTTACATCAGACCACGTCACTTTTCTGCCTAATACCTCCAAGGGCTTCGCAACTCAATGCAAGGTCCTCATGATGGTCTCTAAGGCCTTCTCTTAGCTGGCCCCCCACTACCTCTGTGCTCTTCTCCTTCCTCCTCCTCTCCCGGCCCACTCTGCTTCATCTCACCTGCCTCCTTGCCAGGCAAGCTCCTGTTCTGTGGTTCCATATCCCTGGAATACTCTGCTCCTATACATATGCATGGCTGGCTCCTTCACTTCTTTGAGGCTTCTGTTCAAATGCTACCTTTTTAGGAGAAGTCTTCCCTAACCACCCAATATGAACAGCAATACCTTCCCACCCCAGATACTCCCTTTCCTTCTTCTCTGTTTCAATGTTCTTCTTAACATTTACACCACGGACACACTGTGTCAGCACAAGGAAATCTGTTCCCTCACAGTTCTGCCTCTTGAAGGGAAGCTTCATGAATGCAGAGACTTGATCTGTTTCGTTCACTACTACATCCAGAATGGTGCCTCGTACAGACTAAAAACAATACTTATTGAGCAAACAGTGAGTGTATCTCTCTACTAAACAGATGGGCAGACGTACTCACCCAGCAAAGCACGAATTCAGCCTGAGAAGCAGCTACATCTTTTCCTACTTAGTAGCATATACTTCAGAAGGAACACATTTCACTGTTAAGGAATACATTTCTAAATGATGTTTTTCACTCTGAGAAGAATCCAGTCATTCAAAAATACTCATTCAGCAAATATTTATTGACATCTTACCACGTGCCAGATAAGGTAGTAGGTGCAGTGGAGAGAAACATGAGTAAGTCCCTGTCTCTGCCCTTCAGGAATATATTCTTTGACCAAAAATACTGCACATGAGATTTCAGGATAACATTGCCTATGTATACTTTAGATGGGATTTTCTTCCTGAACAATTGGCATGCTTCCTACAATAAAGACAATGAGAGTTATGTAACTAAACAGCTACCAAGCCTGGCTGTGCATTTGAAAAAAAACTTTTTCAGTTCCATTTCAGACCTAATGAATCAGAATTGAATCTAATCCAGTCCAGTCTTTAAGCCAGCATTTAGAAAAGACTGATATAACCCACTGTATTTCTCTTTGATTTAACTGCTAGAAAGTTCAGAACATCTGAAGAGAAATTTCTTCTCGTTTTACTTTACTTTTTAAAATCAATTTTATTCATTTAAAAAAAATCAATTTTATTACAATCATTTTGAATGCATAGTTTGATGAGTTTGACAAGTGTATACATCCATGTAACCACACCACAGTCAAGATATGAAAGATTTCTATCACCGAAAAGTTCCCTGTGACTCTTCACAGTCAACTCCACCCTGACCTCTGCAACCACTAATTGGTTTCTGTTGTTATAGATTAGTTTTGCCTTTCCTATATACATTATAAACTCTGTACTATGTCGCTATAATTTCTGCCTTAGTCTGACAATTAGTGTTTGGGTGGTCTGTCTCTGTCATTAATATTTAATGTGGGTATCTCGCGGATAGCACACAGTTGGGTCTTGCTTTTTTAACCAGTCTGACAATTCATGCTTTAATTGGAGCATTTAGACCATTTACACTTAATGTAATTATTGATATGACTGAGTTCAACTCTACCATCTTACTATTTGTCCCATCTGTGGTTCCCTTTTTCTTCTTTTCTTGCCTTCTTTTGGATTAGCTGGGCTCTTTTTAGCATTCCACTGATCTCTACTATTGGCTTCTAGCCAGAGGTTGGCAAACCTTTTTTTTA